GGGGCCGGTGACGGTGCCGGTGACGTGCCCGGTTGCCGGTGACGTGCCCGGTGACGCGGGGCAGTCGCGGGGCCCGCCGGGAGGGGGTGGGCGCTCCGGAGCGTGCGGCGGGGACACCACGCGGCCATGCCGGACGAGTGCGGTGCGCAGCGGTGGGGACCGGCGGGGGCGCGGGGACCCCCGGCGGGGAGCGGGGCGCGGGGGGCTCCGGGCGGGCGCGGGGATGGGGGTCTATGGGGGGGTCTTTGCCCCCTCCCCGCGCCGTTCCCCCTTTCCCCTCCCGGGCCTGCCCCGCTCCCCGCGCTCACTCCCGGCGTGTCGCTCCCGCAGATTCCAGCGTGAAGAAGAAGAGGAAGAAGGACAAGCGGGCGCTCGCCGACGAGGATGTCGCGGTGAGAGGCGGGGGGGGAAAGGAGTTGCAATCTGCCCGGGCCGGGTTTGGGGGGCCGGGTGGGGGCTCCCCCAGACCCATCCGTGGGGATGCGGTGGGATGGTTGGTGGGGAGCGTGGGTAGGGCTGGGATGGGTTTCTCCCGCGCCGTTCCAGGAGGGAGCGCGGCCGCCCCACGTGGATGCGGCTGCGGAGCCTCCCGGGCCACGTGGAGGCGGCGGGAGCGCGGCCTGCCCGCCTTCCCCGCTCTCATCCCGCTGAACTCCGTCCCCACGCAGGACATCCAGCACACCGAGGACTTTCTCATCAAGCCCGCCTCCCGGGTGCCCCAGCTGGACACGTCGCAGTGGCCCTTGCTGCTGAAGGTATGGCAGGGTCTGCTCGGCCTCGTGGTCCGCCCTCGCTCCCGCTCCTTTTGTCCTCTGCCCGTGGCAGGGCACTGCTGCTTTGTGTGACCCCACTGCGTGCAGAAATCACGTTATAAAGCCTGGCCAGCAGTACTTTCATGCCTATTTTATAAGTTTACCGTGCCAGATTTCTTGAGCTTTTTGTTTGGGCCTGGCCATGCTCTGTGATGTGTGCAGACTCCAAGGTTGCTTGTGCTGAGTTTCTGGGGCATACTGGATTTATCCTCTGCAGTAAAGATGTGTATTCTGCTGCTTTCCCATCTATTTCAGCCCAAGATTTGTTTGTTTCTTTCTCTGTGAAACATTGAGGTTTCATTGTCGGGTCTGTTTGATTCTGGAAGTGGCTCTGACGTTTACAAATCAGATCTTGTGTACCTGGGGGAGATGTATTGCAGGAAAGCAATGCTGAAACCAGGGTGAGCTCAGGAAGATTTGTAACTTCTGCTTCTGCTGGGATTTTGCAGAACTTCGACAAGTTAAATGTGAGGACAGCACACTACACACCTCTGCCTTCCGGTGCTAATCCTCTGAAGAGAGAGATTTCTGATTATGTTAGGTGAGTGCAATAAGGGCCAGAGTGGTTCGTTTTCTTTCACAGTTAATACCTTCAAAACATTTTCTGGCTGGGTTTCTTCCTTTGTACTTGACTCAGTGCTTTGCCTGGAATCAGTGAACATATAATATAAAGTTTGCTTTCTTTCTGGGCCTTTGGCTGGTCTGTGGATGAACGTGCAAACACCTGAGGAACTCTCTGAGGTCTTTGGAAAAGTCCTTTGGCCTGCTAGGCTTTGAGGCTGCTTGGAGTTTGGTTTCTTCTAAGTGCAGAGCAGTCAGGGGAGAGGAGAGTTCCTTGACCATGGAATACATCGCCTGTTTTGCACTCTTGCTGTGTTTGCCTCTATGCTTAGCCCCTGTTCTTTGCCATCTTGCGCTGCAGGTCTGGCTTTATTAACCTCGACAAACCTTCCAATCCATCCTCCCACGAGGTGGTTGCGTGGATCCGCCGCATCCTCCGAGTGGAGAAGACGGGCCACA